CCTCCTTAGAACTACGTTACTCACTGCGACTGCAGCAGGTCTGGATGTGATTGGCTGCCTGCAGTGGAGCCACAGCTGGGACGTTTCCAAGGAGTCTGACTCAGGTGAACAATAACCTTAGAAAGAAGTCCACGCCTGCTCACAGTCATTTATCATGTCACGCCACTACAGCGGATGCTCGAGCTTTAATATAGGACTTGTTTTCCTTCTGTTTACTGCTTTGGACTCATGTTTCTCATTCATTAAAGAGCAAACTTTCTAGCTGCTGCTCCAAAGAGGAAAAAAAAAAAAAAGATTTGGAGAAGATTTAGACTTTGGTGTTAAGAAAACTCATAGGACTCCAAATCATAATCGTTCAAACACTTTTTAAATGTTCCCTGTTTAAAAATTTAATAAGTACCTGATGAGTTTTAACACTGAGTCATAGCGGCTGATAAACTCCACACTAAAAAGGTCTGCAATGACTTTAGCAAAATGTTTTACTGAAAAGATACAGGATATTAAAAAAACAGCCTGCAAATAAATAAATTCCCATTCCAGTACCAATGCTGACTTTAGTTAAAATAAACTCTCTTAAAATGTCCCAATTCTGTCCAAATCTGTCTAAGTCAATAAACTGCAAATGTTTAGAAGAAACTAGTAGCTAAGCTCCTCTTTAGGGTCTGATTTGATTTAAATCATAAACACATTCCTCATGTCAGCTGTTTTCCCCCAAGCCTTAAAAAAGGCAATTATCAAAAGATCATTGAAAAAGAGAAGCTTAGACAAACGAATCCTGCTGCGCTACAGGCCCATTTGATACCTTTGAACACTGGATTTTATCAGAGGGTCTGGAAAACTGGGTCGGCCTTTCTCGTTCCGCACTAGACTGGTTTAAATCCTACCTGAAGGACAGGGACTTCTATGTGTCAGTAGGGAACTTTAAATCAGAGACTAAAAAAAAATCACATGTGAGGTTCCTTAAGGCTCCATTTTGGTTCCCCTCCTATTCAACATCTACATGCTCTCCTTAGCTCAGATTATAGCAAACAACCAGATCAGTTACCATAACTATGCAGATGACACAGCTTTACATCACAATGTCACCAGGTGACTATGAACCTGTCAGAGCGCTAGCTATAAGCTTAGAACAGATCAATATGTGGATGTCATAATTTTCTACAACAAAATAAAAATAAAACTGAGGTAAAAATTTTCTGACCAAAAGAGGAGAGATCCAGAGTTATCTCATAGTTTCAGCTACTAAATCTAGAAACCACTGATTATGGCTGAAATCTTGGTGTCCGTAAAAGTTTAAAAAACAATCCACTGGACTTGGTTTCCAAGGTTTCCAAGCAATACAAGGCCTCAAACTCACTGCAGATCCAGACATTATCTTAGATCTGCCTTTGACTGTTGAAGTTAAACTGTTAACTGTGGTATTACGGTACTAGTTTAAGATTATGGTCCAACTACTTTATTTTCTTCTCTTCGTAGTTTTTTTCATGTTTTTTTTACTTGCTGTTAATCTGCTTTTTTTGTGGTCCAATTGTTTTATTTAATTTACAAATGTTTTGGCTTTTATTTTTCTTCTATTTTATTATCTAATTCATGTAAAGAACTTTGAATTTTCCATCTACTGAATTTCGCTATAAAAATAGAATTGAATTGCCTTTGTAGATCTTGAGCAATAGATTGTGGAAAAAATGTCTGTATGTTTCTTTTAAGTGCCCCTCCAGCCCTCATCGGGCGTGTGAGGGACGGTCTGTGATGTCATGTCACAATGAGTCAGTCACCTGCTGGTGAGTAAGAGCAGAGTTCAATTCATCCAGTCTAGACACAAACAGAAGAACAGAATCACCTGAAGCAGTCTGCCTCACTGAAGGAACATGAACAAACAGGGATCTATGGAGTTAAAACTGCACCTTTGTGTTTTACAGCATGTACACTGTTTTAAGATAACACATTACTCTGGTTCATCCTAAATAAAATCTGTTTAACCAACTGGCTTCACAAACTCCCCTGAGAAAGCATGGTGGAACATGGTGGCGGCCTCAGCTTGTTGTGGGGACAGGAAAGCCGGTCAGGGTTGGTGGAAAAATGGCTGAGGCTAAATACGGGGAAAACTTCGCGAGAAAAACCTGCAAGATATTCGAGACCGGAGCAAATCCATGTGCTAAAATAGCCGAGTCAAAGTTCAGACATAGAGGTAATAGATAATCTGTGACCAGACGTCAAAGATGCCGACATCCCTCATTTAGCTTGACCTACTTCTCAAAAATGTTCAAAGTTCGATTCCAGCTGTTATAAAGCATTATAAGCTCATTCATGTAAAATTACCCAAATTGCATAGTGATTGTAATAAGACAAAAAAAAAAAAAAAAGACAGAAAACTACACCATTGTTGGACGGTTTCTCCTTTATTTCTTTAACTATCCAACTTTATGAACTATTGTTCCCATTTTAATAACAAGATAAAAATGTATATGAAGACATATTTTATTAATAATGAAAATACAAAAGTTGGATAATAAGTAAGCCAATTTTCCTTAAAATACATATATTTTCCCTTAATTTGCACGGATTGGTAAGATAATTTTTCAATGAATTAATATTATTCACATGTATAATAAGAAAAACAATGTGTTTGCTTAGTTCAAGTTCATAATATCAAATGATCATAATTTAAGGACAAAGACACCTATTTGAAGATTATTTTTAGATGAATTTTTGCAGAGAAGGGGAAGTCTGACCCTGAATCACTGTGGTGATCAGCTTCTCTTTTAACACTTAAACGTCTGCAGAGGGATGAGTTTTAGCATCTTCTCTCTGTGACTCACAGGCTGGTACATTTCCAACAGAGATACTTTGTCACTTTGTTTCACTTTAGGGGAAAATAAACGCTACGTAATGCCTGCAGTTATATTGCATCCCACATACAAACGGCCAAGAAATATTCACCATAAGAAAGGGGAGAGCTCTGGGTGATTATTATAATGTGTCTCATTGATTCAAACTGGAACACTTTTGGTTAACTTTATTTTATAATTTTGTATTGATCCAAATGGAACAGAGTAATCCTGACAATCAGGTTGACAGCAGTTTTTCTTCTGGTTTTCATCACACTTTAGTTACAAAAAATAATCTAATTTAAAATCTATATTTGCAGAAAAAATATAAAAAAATATAACAGAAACTTTCTTATTTTTTCCTTCATTCTTTTATTTTTCTAAATGCCTATTTAGGTTGTCACAAAAAAGAACATAGCAGGCAAGAATACCGAGCGTACAAACCAGGTGAACACATGAGGGTGTTGTGCAAGAGTCATTAAACATACCACATAGCATAGAGTTAACATAAGGATGGAAATACAAACAGTTTCCGCATTACAATATTCATTTTTTCATTTAGCCTGTTTTGGAAAAAATCCGCTTTTGAAAAATTTACTCCCCAGACCCCCTTTTTGGGATGCATCCAACAAAAATTCTAATATAGCTTTTATTTTCAGCATTTTAACTCTCCCAGAAGGTTTAACTAACAAAACCTGGTATAGAGATAAGTTATTTCATTTTGGATTATTCGTATTTATATGCTTTATGTTTCAGGGTGACAACATGATTGAAATAGTTCAGTCTTAAACAATTAAACTGATGGGAAGATGTTGTCAAATACTGCAAAATTTTAAATAAAGATCAGTTCTCATGTGAATTTTTCCCCCCAAAATGAACTTGAGCTGTATCACTATGGAAGAGGATTAAAGCCATTAAAAAAAGACTAAAATAAAAAAAAAGGCTATTGAATTCTGACTTAAAATGTAACCTTTAATCTCAGAATTAAAGGTAACATTAAAACTCCATCGCCAAAACCCTGGATTTTCACTTCATTTAAATAGGAATATGAGGTAATCATAATTCTATGAGAATAATTCTGACATTAAAATCAGAATTAGTCAAATTCAGATTAATTAGCAGACTTTTGTTTATTGAATTTCTGTTTTTTTAGCTTTTTTAATGGCCCTTATCCTCTTGTTTTCATTTATCTAACATGAGTTCTTTGATGGGTGGTTCTGCATTTAACAAATGTGCTTCACCTTATACTATTTTATTTATTTTATTATAATTTGAGTATTCTTGCTGATGTAATGCTTTAACCCGGTTGCCTTCACTTTATACTATTTTATTTATTTTATTATAATTTGAGTATTCTTGCTGATGTAATGCTTTAACACGGTTGCCTTCACTTTATACTATTTTATTTATTTTATTATAATTTGAGTATTCTTGCTGATGTAATGCTTTAACACGGTTGCCTTCACTTTATACTATTTTATTTATTTTTATTATAATTTGAGTATTCTTGCTGATGTAATGCTTTAACACGGTTGCCTTCACTTTATACTATTTTATTTATTTTTATTATAATTTG